CTGGTTTACTGCGAAAAATCTCTCTTTAAGGTATGATTGTATAATCAGATAATAGGCCTGGGGTAAAAATAATTTTAATTTGTATAATAATCTCTCATGCCATACATAAAAAAATATATATAGAAAAACATGCAGACTTACTGGCTATTCACCGTTTTGTTTTAAGTTTGTTAACTTTTTGTTAAAAATTAAAGCTTGTTAAAATTTAAAAATTACTGCTTTTCCAGTAATAAGATTTATAAGTTAAAAGTGGCACAGAATCGCCGAAATGTCGCAAAATTATGATTTTTTTATGTTTTGAAACACCTTCAAAACAAGGCGTACTAACAAGAAATGTTTAATTAAAAAAAAGTAAATACACATAAGTACATAGGTAACCCTATTTACTAAGAGCACTAGACGAGTCACAATTTGTAGTGCGAAGTCAGTTACTGGTTGATCGATGATTGCTTGGCTTAAACAAATTTAAAGGTGGGTCAATTTTAATATGACGGTAAACAGTACGGTATCGAATATTTAAGAAAGCCACGAGGCGAACAACAGCAGGGGGTGCGGTGACGGTGTTGGTTTAAGGGAGACGCCTTATCTCTTCACACTCTCGTGCCCACGGATTCCCCTCCTCGTTCTGGATGAAGGTGAGGGTGAGGTCGGGGTTGGCGGAGGGCGAGGGTGCGAGTACCTCGCACGGCCTTGCTGGCAAGTGGGAGAGATGTCGGATTCAGCTAATATCACTTGAAACACTCGGTGGCCTAAAACTACCCCGACCAACTCCCCGATATCGCTTCCTACCCGAATTAAACGCCTCGACCCAAATGATTAAACTTTCTATTCCTTTTATCTCTTGAGTCGTTCAAGTAATACGTCAAATCAGTGTTTGGGAAGTGTCAGTTTTCCTCTTCTATCGCCCGACTAATTCTTTCAAGCCTTCTAAATTAATTAATTTTTTACATATTAAAATAATTCCAAACACCAATAAATTTTAAGAAGACTGAAAAAATTACTGGCCTTAATAATGTTATAATTATCACCTTAATGGGTAATAAAAATTACAAAATTCACCCATATACTGATAATATCCACCGTCTTCAAAATTATATATAACGTTTGTCTCATTGTCGAAAAATAGAGTAAATATTTTTTCCAAGGCTTTTATTATTATAAATATATATAGTTTTTGAATATTACATAACTTTGGGAATCAAATAGTTTGTTGTTTCTTTGGTACGTTTGGCAAGTCATAGAACAGTTGGCTTAAAGCATAACCCCATTATATTTGGTGGTCTAATTAACCAAATAACTTCTTTCAATTAATTAATCTTTGTATAAGGCATTGGTTGAAATGAAAAAGTTAGTGTCACGAGGGGGATTCGAACCCACGGCCTTCGGCTCAATACGCCGCTGTTCTACCGCTTGAGCTATCGTGACTTCATAGGTCGTGGGTTCGAATCCCGCTTGTGACACTAACTTTTTCATTTCAGCCAATGCCTTATATAAAGATTAAAGCATAACCATTAACCGTTAAATATTCTTCCATGTAAGGTTGACACGTGGACACTTACTTTTGAATCAAAGTCTGCGTATACGCCCGGCATGTAGAGAAAGTTAGTCGATGTGTCCTACTTAATGCCTTGGCTCCATATTGAGAGCTGTCCGATATGACAATTGTGCTCGAACACTGCAGCTAGTGTATGGATCCCTTGTTTCGATTTTAGTTAGAAACAGGGTTGTTTTAGTATTAATACAGTGATATATGAGAGCTGTATTGTTTTTTCCCCCTAGTGTATGTCGATAGTGAATGTATTTATTGGCGTGAATGTGTAGTGGGAGAGAAATATTGAGCTCCAATAGACTATCAATAGATTAGTTATATAATATGTGTGGAGAGTGATGATGAATATCGAGTGCACCCCTCACCCTGGGTGAAAGGCAAGTATATAGGAAAGAATGGTTTGGATCTAAAAACTAGTTGCGTCGGGTGCTGAAATGACCTAGCTGTTGATATACCCTGGGCGGTCAAGACGGAGGACTGACTCTAGACTGCCCAAACCTGGCGTGAGTGAATCTCACGGCCTGCCAGCAATTTATTGCAAACACAAAGCTGGGATTGCCGACGGACTGCGAGAACTGACAGACTAACATGTGCGTAAATTGTTAGGAAGATGAGATGGGGGGCTGTTTCAATCAGTTTGTTGTGGCGACCTGATTCTCCATTCCATAACAAAAGATTCATATATAAGAAAAGTTTTATCATGAGTCGTCAACTGCCTCATGTAAAACCTTACATAAAAGGATTAATTAATCGAAAGAAGTAATTTGGTCAATAGACCACTAAATATAATGGATTTAATAAGTAAAACGAAGAATTACTTCACCAACAGCTCCCCGTTGCCACTTCATATGTTGCCGAGAATCGAATCCTGATTACACAACATTTGAAAAATGGCAAAAAGGAAGGAAAATTCGAAAAATAATAGGTTCAGATGGGGAGTTGGTGTCCGAGTGGATCGAAGTTGCGATAGCTCAAGTGGTTAGAGGAGCGGCGTATTGAGCCGAAGGTCATGGGTTCGAATCCCGCTTGTGACACTAACTTTTTCATTTCAACCAAAACCTTAGAGAAAAAGTATAATCAAATAAAATATATTATTTACTTTCTTCATGGCCTAAAACGGATACATTTCTCGTATGATTGTTAACACCCTTTACTGGTATTTAATATTAATTAATGTTATATTAAAACAAATACATTACATACTTACAATTTGAAATTATGATAATGTGACTTCGTTTTCAAGATATGTTCTCAAACTATAAATGTTAGGTATTTTTAAATTTACAAACGCGTTTTTGCACAAATATCGTTGACCAGTGTGATGTTTGTCAAAATGTAACCCATTTTAACTACAAAACAATTGAATGAGGAAGAATAGTCTCAATCCACTTATAAATGATATTTTTTTTATACAAGATCTGCCGATTTGAAAGGTAAGCAAATTGTGGAAGTAGTCAGTTGGTGCAGTATCGAGAAGCGAGGCAGGCCAAATCCATTGTCTTTTGACATATTAATCAGGGAAATGGACTGAGCTTTGTCGGTGCCAGCCTCATTGTTTCGTGGCTTTAGCGGATTATATCTTCAAGAAGAGCGCCTCGAATAAGGATAATGAAAGAGAGTGTAGGAGAAAATCCTATTTCACATAACAATTGGAACTACCCTTGTCAGTAACCCATGTTAGCAAAAAAGCTTCCCCCATACGAACATAGAAAAATTGTCTATTTACCATAGCGAAAAAAAAGAAAACAGAAAGAACGAAAATAACTAAACTTGGTTTCATTATTTTGCTGATATGGCATTGAACGTTTAAAATTCATTGGAATCTCAAAAATTCAGTTATCTAAAAACTTATTTTCAAGATATGACATGTTGTTACTGTCTTTAACTGTTTTATAATAAAATTATAATTACAAACCAAGACATATAATTCCGAAGTATGTATCGAACCATAAACCGAATAGAAGATCTTGATTTAAAAAATTAATTTAATAATCGGACATCCAACCACCCGTGGCAACACAAGAAGCATGGTGCACAGGGCCTTGACGGTTCCTATGGAAGAAGAAGATTTCATTAAGGAGGTGAACGTTATTAAACAAATTGCAAGAGGCAACGGCTATGAGGACCGTATTATAGGCAACATTGTAGGGAAAATAAAAAAGGCATTAATGTAACGGGTATTTCAAGAAGGCCTAAAGTGTGAGGAACCAGAAATTAAAACGTACATAAACTGCTTTATCTAAATAAACAATTCCTTCCTGTAAAAAAAGCGCTGAAGGACATATGAGTGGAAGCAGCTTGGTACACCAGGAATATATATCCAAATATTGGAAAGAAAGTTACAAATGACAATTTAAAAAAAAAAACAGATTAGAATCCAGTGGAGTGTACAAAATAACGTGTGAAGAGGGAGAGGCTGGGTATATTGGGAGAAGTGGAAGAAAGATTGAAGTCAGAATAGATGAATATTTTGGGGTGCTAACAAGGATAGAAAACCACAAAAAGAAAATTGAGAATGTGAAGGAAGAAATAAATACACTCACCAAGAAAATACGAGAAGCAACGGAAAGAAAGGAAAGGAAAACAAAACTAAGAAACTTCGAAGACAGCCTAGAACAAAAGAATTGCAAGGACTACAAAGAAAGGTGGAAAAATACAAAGAAGAAGGCAGGATAGCGAGGCACACCTTACAAACGGGCCACACCTTCAAAGAAAACGTTAAAGTCCTCCATAAAGAAAAGTTTGGTAGAAAATTTAACACATTGGAAGCCCTAGAAATAAACTTATCAAATTACAACGAAGAAGTGGAAACATTGAACGACCAGTTGGATTTAGTGGATTCACCATTGTTTACTCGCTGGAGGACACTAACGTGACGTCAGGAGTGAGGCATAATGGGAACGACGAGCTCGTATAGAGGAAGAGACGTCAATGTTAACATATTATTAATTGATAAGTAGTGTTATTTGAACAAAATATAAATAACAAGGCTGTGAGTTAAGGGGTGAGTTGTACATAAATCTGAATTAAGAAGGGGAAAGAAAATGACATTGTTTTATGATGCTACAGGCTGAAGATGATTATAAAATAATTGAAAAGCTTCCCATTAAAATAAACCTGCTGGAACTAAAGGCTTATATTTATTTATAAAAAACACCATTATGGAGTTCCACAGCAAGAACGGTGCCACACTCAACATCTTAAAAAACTAATATATAAAAAATAGTTTCTAACAAACAAATTGTATACATATATCTGTGATAACTGGTTAATTATACTGGACTCGCTGATTTGGCCTGTCATATGCGTTTCAACTTTTCGCGACGTTCAATAAAACATTCCTGTTCGGGTGTGTCACCCTTAGCAAAACTCCCGAACCGTGACGTATCCATTACCTCAACACCAACAGTTTCCCTCCCGATTTACAGGAAAACTCCTCTTCCCGCGCTTATGCCTTCAATCCATCGCCTGCTGTCGGAGGGTCCACATCTCGGATTTCTTTGTCAACTCTCCCGAAGTATTGTGCAATGTACTCTTCTACTTGTGGAGTCGTGGTTCGTGAACATCATCTTCACTCGCCTCATTTTTACACGACGGGTTGTCACTTGCATCGTTTAATGTCCTTTCGAACATTTTACTCCCGACCGCATGGCCCCGGATCGTTCATCGTCTTTCCTTCTCCTAGTATCATCCCCTGCGTACTCCCCTATAGTTCTATGTTATTTCCAGTATAACCTTTTTCTCTTTTTTAAATTATCCTTCCATTCCTGAAAATCTATTCATCCCCTGAGACAGCCACGCAATGTCATTTCTGCTGCTGACTTTAGACCGGTACACTGTCCTATTTACCACCGAGAAGAAAATATCTTTCGCCTTGAGAACTTCATATTAAATCACCGTTCATCTTCAAGACTACAGGACATCCCACAAAAACAGTGAGTCTTCACTTATTCCTTTATTTAAATTATTCCTAAGTTGCACTTTCCATTATTCTATCTCCTAATCAATCGGGAATACCCGTTGGTGCCGAAACGTAAATTTCTTTATTAATTCAATCTCCTATCCCAGGCGACGTTCGCGCTCCATTTTTTAGGCGTTGGTGAACAATTCCATTAATAGTAAGTCTTTTAATAAATATTTACCAGACTAATTTTTCGAATGTCAGCCAGTAAAAAATCTCGTGCTAAATTACGAAACTGATTTGCTTGTTTATACAACAGAAAGAATACCCTTTCTTCTTTAAATTTACTTATTCATTTTTTATTTTCCATATTTGAATAGATATGTAAACATTTTTGGCTTGTTTTATCGGTTTGGTACTATTGTATATAAATCACGAAGTTCTGTGTCATGTATCAGTATTTCTTAGGTCAGCCATTGACTAATAGTGCAGGGAAAAGGGTTCACTCTGACCACACCAACTACTGACGACGGGGTTTAGCATTACAACCTTTGCTATCGCATGACAGTCAGGAGGCATTGCACCATTTACTTATTCATTTTTTATTTTCCATATTTGAATAGATATTTTGTTAAACATTTTTGGCTTGTTTTATCGGTTTGGTACTATTGTATATAAATCACGAAGTTCAGCGTCATGTATCAGCTCAATTTTCTTAGGTCAGCCATTGACTAATATGTGCAGGGAAAAGGTTTCACTCTGACCACACTAACTACTGACGACGGGGTTTAGCATTACTACCTTTGCTATCACATGACAGTCAGGAGGCTTGTACCATTTACTTAGTCATTTTTTGTTTTCCATATTTGAATAGATATTTTGTTAAACATTTTTGGCTTGTTTTATCGGTTTGGTATTATTGTATATAAATCACGAAGTTCCGTGTCATGTGTCAGTTCCATTTTCTTAGGTCAGCCATTGACTAATATGTGCAGGGAAAAGGTTTCACCCTGACCACACTAACTACTGACGACGGGGTTTAGCATTACAACCTTTGCTATCGCACGACAGTCAGGAGGCATTGCACCATTTACTTATTCATTTTTTATTTTCCATATTTGAATAGATATTTTGTTAAACATTTTTGGCTTGTTTTATCGGTTTGGTACTATTGTATATAAATCACGAAGTTCAGCGTCATGTATCAGTTCAATTTTCTTCGGTCAGCCGTTGACTAATATGTGCAGGGAAAAGGTTTCACTCTGACCACACCAACTACTGACGACGGGGTTTAGCATTACAACCTTTGCTATCGCATGACAGTCAGGAGACATTGCACCGTTGCATACCAACGAGGAGAGGTCCTCGAAGGGAGAGGACTGGGACAATGGACTGAGAAAATAACGCTGCTTGCAACGGACATCGAGAAAATCGTTGCCTGTAGGAGAAGACGGCAACCCGGAGGCAGCGAACTCAACCTCATGTAGTAGAAATTTGCTCTTGAGAAGTTAAGGCAGAACTTTTGAGAAAAAACAAAAGAGTTGTTTAGTGAGTTAAGACTGAAGGTGAATAAAAGATGACATAACCCGGCATTATTCTCCCGGAGACAGACAGGTCTACTCTAATAAATTAAACTACTAGTAAACATGTACTACAAAAGAATTCAGTCTTTTCTCACCGGTAGACATTACATATAAAGAGTGAACATGCGAAGCCCCCTACCAAAGAATAGCAATATCGTCGGTACCTCAAGGTAACGTCTGGGGACCTTACTTGATTTACATGCCAGACGTTCCAGCATCTTCCAATATGACCACGTTCGCAGGCGAGCATTCTATATTTGCCAACACAAAGCCAGGTGTCACAATTCTTCAAGCACGTGTAGAGACATCGAGATGTGGAAAAATAAAAGGAGAATGAATGTGAACCCCCAAAACTCAATCAAATCCACTTGGCAAATACTCCATAAAAAGGAAAAAGTTTTACTGTATATAAATAGATAAATAAACGATGAGCTGATCCACCAGATGACATCACCAGATTGAAAATGATGCTACAATACTAAAAAAAATTCGACATTCAATGAACACATCGGCAAACTTGTAGCGAGAATTCATCTCAAACATATTTATTGGAGTCACGTTTAAAAATTGCATCCCTCTCCCCACAATCTGGGAATAAAAATACTTTTGTACCTAGTATTGATTCGTCCCATATAAACCGAAACATATGCACTATAACCGAGTTGTTATTATGCCTCGTATCTACAGCTCCTTGGCATGTTGAAACTCGGCAATTTAAAGTCCTTGACATTCCCCGAAATGATAAAGCTATCATCAACAAGTCTCCACGCTTCCTCTACCTCTATTATGGTCGAATTCTGCAATCTCATGGAACGACGACCTCACTTCGGAGGAAGAGTGTAACAGAAAAGAACTGTCGATACATTAGCAAAACAAATGACATTCTATAAAAAGTGATGTTTTTAAAGGTGGTTTGCGACAGGAGTGCTCGTATCAATCCCCGGGGTATTTTGGGTTGGAATTTAGGGCCGCTGGGATGCGAAAAAGGGTTCATCGCATTCACAGCTTTGTTCGTCATTTGTCTCTGTTAGAAAGTAACTACTAAACTGCTCAAAAATGAATAAGGATATTTGTAATTTATTCTTATTCTATTTTTTATACAAACCGAAAACCAACTAACGTTAATCCTCATTTTTAATAACGGATGTACTTAAGAATAGTAAACTACTAATTTTGTAGACAAACACCTTTTCTCCATTTTAATCCAGTTGTATTCTTTTTAACCATGGAAAGACATCATCTTGCACCCGACGTTAGCAATATTATTGTGAGAATGAGTCATCGAGGTCACCGGCAAGTGGATATCGCAGAGGCAGTTGGGTTTCAAAGAGCTTGGCCTCCCGGGCTTTAGCCCGATTCGGAGAAGCTGAAAGTGCCTGTAGGAAGCGCAACATCTATGGAGTGAAATTCCTTATGAAATTAATGACTACTTTATTTACCTGTTAGTATGCCTAACAGGTACAAAGAGGTTTTACCTAACAGGACATTTTACACGGTATATATTGACCCTGAAACGTCCAAAAAGAAAGAAGAATTATTTCCCATTCATCAAGAACAGCCGTTGCCAGCTCTTCTAGATGGGTAGGACCTGGGTTTCACCGCCGTACAGTTCGCTTAAGTTGGTCCCAAATGTGTTCGATAGGGTTCAAATCTGGACTTCGAGCTGGCCACACCAAACATCCAATTCCAACTTCATTCAGGTAGTCATCCACAATTCGAGCTCTATGGGGCATGGCATTTATCCTGCATTATTTCTCTCTAGCCCCGAAGAACCCAACCTATCATAGAGCGATTTACGTTCAGTCTCCTGGCGACTTCATGCTGGGAATCTCCTTCCTCTAAGAATGTTATGACCCTGACACTTATATTCACTCAAATGCTGGGCCATTGAAAAAAAGGTTTAAGAATAAGTGTGTAGTGATTAGTGACCGTTAGTCGAGATTATTCAGAAATCGTGAGATGCGGTCTGGTGTGATGTAGGTTTCAGAAAAACATTTTCTTTATCCTGCCAACGTTTCGATCTTTATACATTGATTGAATATAAACAATATTTTTTTGCATTGTATAAATTCACTTTTTTCCACATCCTACATGTGTTTGGTAGGATGTGAAAAAAAAATGGATTTATACAATGCAAAATATTTTTTTTATATTCATTCAAAGTATTTCTACTCACTCGAAGTGTTTGTTTTCTGTTGTAATTGTACCATTCTTGCGTGTCGTGTTGAGAGTGCCAGTGACAATAATCCATATTTAGTAGTCATAATTGACCATATTAATTATTTTTTCATCTCAACCAAAACCTTAGATAAAAAGAATAATTAATTGTAATAATAAGAATCAAATGATATGAACGAAGGAAGAAAATTGACTGAAATAGATCTTTAGACGTATCAGAATGGAATGGCATAATGCTACTTTTCGTGCAAATGGGATTATTCAGTACAAAAGTAAAAGAAGTAAACAAAGCATTATTTACTGCTTATTCTCACTACAGTACCTCCCGATTACATTTAACTAACGCAGAAAGACAATAATTTAATTTTATACTCAATAAATTGAGTGGTGCATTAAATTTGTCCATTGGGGTTATCTGAAATCCAAATCTATTAATGTATTGATGTTCAATTTGTTATTTAGAAATCGTGAGATGCGGTCTGGTGTGATGTAGGTTCAGAAAAACATTTTCTTTGTCGTGCCAACGTTTCGATCTTTATTGAGATCATCTTCAGGGCTCAAAGTGTTTGTCTTCTGTGTAATTGTGTCATTCTTGCGTGTCGTGTCGAGAGTGCCCGTTCAATAGATAATTAAATGGAATGGAAACCTATATAACTCAACACCATTATTGGTTTTATTATTAATTATATAATGGACTGTAGCGCAAATTATAGTTTATAAAATAAAATATTTTTTACAAAGCTATCCAACGTGACAAATGACACGACAGAATTACTATTGTAGCTTATCTGCCGAATGAAGGCACTTCCATTGTACATTCGATTACTCGACTCGATTTGATGATTGCTTCTCCGTTTATGGAGTAAATTGAGCCGTTTTATAAATAGCGATGTAATAAAACAAAATAAAATAAATGCCAATTGAACGAAACAATAAAAATGAATTGATAAAAATGAGAAAATATAAAAAAACCGTTGTTCCAAGGTTGAAAGGCGCTGCAATCGCCTTGGCCGGGAAAGGGATCGTCCAACGTTTTTTCGTCTGTGATAACAGATTCTCCGATGGTTAACTCTACTTCCTCCTACCCCAGGCATGGATTATTTTCCATTTTCAACGCAATCCGCGGCATAATTTTTAAAAATTCTTTGAAACTAAAATAAAACAAACATGAATCAGTTCGCCGGCCGAATATTTTAACTGGATACATTATCTGTGAAATTAACATGTAATATTACCACTGTCTTCACTTCTGACAATTCAAAAAACGCTATTTAATCCATAATCCGGATCGTTTGTTTTGTTTTTTTCAGGTTCGACGGGTTTCAGTCGCAGCCCGAAGGAGATAAATCTATACGAAGGGTTGTCAAATTGGGTACTTTTAATTATTTTAACGTATTTAAGTTGTTTTATGATTATCTTTTAACCGAGCCTTACTTTTCTAAGGGCCAACATACTAACCCTTTCTTGAATGAACTTACACTTTTAGCAGCAACATAACTTAGATTTTCTTTTTAAAAAACAGAGTACATTATTTTAATTAATTATACTTTTAACCCTTCTCTACTACGGTGGTATTAGATCACTCATATAATACTGTTGGGTCGGATCTGATCCTCCATATTTTTGAACCATTTTTTCCCAAAAAACGCTTTGAACACGTAGAAAATGGATACTAATGTTTCTGTAAAGGAAGAAGATCACAAAATTAACAGCATTTCAACCAAATATAATTTTTATTTACAGATTAAAATCGGTTCTCAGTTCTGGTAAGTCAGTCTTAGAGTTTCAGACTCAAAAAATATTACAATTCTGTTATTCTGTTAGAAAATACATAAGTTGAACGACATATAAAAAATTTACATGAAATGACAAGAAAATAATCACAATCATCACAAAATTTCAAAATCGTAATCACAAACTTTCTTCATCGTAGGTCGAGGAACAGTCGGGGCAAATCAAAACTTTATGTTCCCCACACATCGATTTTTCACAGTATGCACAATATGAGTTTCCTTTCTTGTTGATGACGCAGAAGTCGTACCGTCTCCTTTTTTTGGTCATACTATTATCAGAAGATGCTGCCTGTCTTTTTAGCCTCTTGTCTAGCTGTTCACCTATCATCGCTCTTAAATTCCTCGGAAGACGTTCGTTAGTGAATCTTTTCTCCATCCATGGCTTAGCCAACGCAATGGGTAAATTTTTGAGAATCGTCAACCGTATCGTGTTAGGGTATGGCTAAAATGCAAAAAGGGTTAAATAATAAAAATTATTAGAGCATAAGTTATACTACGGTGGGGTTGAATCTGACCTACACATTTCTATTACAGTTGGGTCTGATCCAACCAAAGGGGGGATAAGTGAAGAACAGTATGTACTTTATCGATGTGTTCAAGCCAACAGCTTCCGCACGACTGAGGACGAGGTGCCCATGGATGACAGATTGAAGCGCACTATATGTTGGCCGTGGCGAGTCATAAAAATTTCACCTGGGTCGGATCCGACCCACCGTAGTAAAGGAGGGCTAATCTAAGGTCTTGGTTTAGTTGGAGAAGTCACAAACTGGATTCGAACCTACAACTTTTGGTTCAATACGCTGCTTCTCTATGTAGCACAATACCTCAAGTCGTGGGTTCGAATTCACGAATTCGTGACTTTTTCATCCCACCAAGACCTTATATAAAAAGTATAATTAACTAAAATAATTAATACAGTCAACTATGACTACTAAATACATATATGGATTTATGCATTATGTAAATTTTCTTCTTAGGATTTGCAAAACCTATCGCAAAGATTGTTATTCTCCTTTTTATTATTATTTTTTAAAATAAAAATACAGAGATAATCTAAAATGTGTGATGATTAGTGACGTTTGTCGATGATTATTCAGAAATCGTGAGTTGCGGTCTGGTTTGATGTAGGTTTCAGAAAAACATTTTCTTTATCGTGCCAACGTTTCGATCTTTATTGAGATCATCTTCAGGGCCTGGGATTTACAAACATTGTTTAAATTTAACAAATACATGTAGGATTAAGTGAATTTATACAACGCAAGAAAATTATTTTTTATATTCAATCAATTACGCAGAAAACAAACACTTTGATTGAGTGGAAGTACTTTGTACTTTACAGCAAGAAGTAACTCACTATTCACAAAAATTATAATAATGAAATACACTTTTTACGTATAAGTCATATCAAACGGTACAGAGTGGCATGCAGTTACAAAAAAAAAGTCTGCACACTCTCAGTATTAATGTCATAAAAGGGGTTTAAAAACAAATGGAAATATTACATTTTGAAACAATTGATTTTTTAAATTTAATATAGGCCTTTTATTTAATTTGATGTGTTTTGAAGTTTGTCAAACCACTTAAATACACTTATGGACCAATTTAACGCACCACTCAATTTATTGAATTTACAATTAAATCCATTATCTTTCATTAGTTACTGGCAATTAAGAGCTATCATAGCCAAAATGAACAGTAAATAAGGTTTTGTTTAATTTCGTTCAACACTTAATAGCTGCAATGAAGATGTAGACATTATTTATTATTATTATATTGTATAACATTGTGCTCCTCTTCAATTCTGAAATTGTATTTTAAATATGATTGCTTCCTATATATAACAAAAATAAAAACTGTAAGTAGTACACGAAATTAGATTGTGGTGAATGTAGATTTTTTTTTTTTTTTTTTTTAACCAATTCAAGGTACTTGTGTCCCATATGAATTTTTACACTCCCTAGTTTGCAGAACCTATGTTTAGCTTGATCATTTAAAACAGGTTTGTTTTGTCTAATGCATTTCAACTTTTTACCATGTCCCGTTTGGATTTATGTGATATTTTGTTTTGTCAAGTCCTTTTTGTATGTTGGTTGTGTACGATGAAAGGAGTGCGTCATTTGCTGTCTTTGTTGATGTATAGGATTAGTTGGGTGTTAAATGGTTGGAAATGATCAAGTGACAGGTTGACATCCCCAGATCTCATAAAGATTTTTTAAAAAATTATTTTTTAAAGAAAGGAAGCGGTAATGTGTCTCTTCTATGGTTCCATGCCCTATTATTAATAAAATATGTTATTTATGTTCCCGTTCTGTGTTTGGATATATAAGAAAACTAGCTTTTACCAGCGATTTTGTTCACGCAGGACTCTATTTTAATGTATGATTTTAATGCGATGCAGAAGCTAGTACGGCTTTCTAATACAACGTCCTGTTTCTCAAATTCTTCTCCTATTCAGCTCACTTCGGTCTATACATTATAAAAAAATTGTCCATATGATCCCCTTAGGGATCGAATTTCATAAATTTCTTTCTTTGCGGCTATCCGTGTCATTATAGGAATGAACTGTTGAACTTTCTGCCCTTTAGATCCAGCGATTTCTTACATAGGATAGTATCTGTTAGTCAGTCAGTCATGGAACTGTTTTGTATATACAGATTGGTTCCATTTTCTTGTGCATTGTGTTCAGTTAACAGACTTGAGGAAAAACTGGTCTGGGAAAAATTATTAAAAGAATAATAAACATTACTTACTACATATTAATAGGAAAAAAAGATATCTTCTAACAAATAAAGTCAAAAGTTGAAATGTTTTTGACAGATGAAAACAACAAGGGTAGGCAGATGAAAATGATCAGACAGATTCATCATCCGCAGACCCCAAAACATTTTATATAATGAAAATTTCTAGGTCTCTTTCTTGAATGTTTGAGTTTAAGAAGATAGGAAGGTCTCATACTCATAAACTCAATTATTAATTGTAGGCTGATCTCAACATAACTAACTTGCATTTTTATCAGGTGAAAGCATAATTCACTCAGGGAAATCAGAGTTGTCGACAGCCGCCTCCAATGGTGATATCGAATTGATGAAGCGCCTGCTGAACTCCGCTGAGAGTCATGAAGAAGTGCCAAAGAACAACAAAAATAAGTTTGGGAGCAAAATTAAATGGAGAAAAGAGATGTCCACTGCGAACCACGGTTACTTCGTTGTTGTCCATGACAGTGACACTTCTACTACCTCCGACAAGTCCTTTCAGGATAAAAATCAAAACCAGGAACTATCCTGCTTGAAAAGGCACGGCTCTGAAGAGACGACTACACCCGAGGGAATGGACAAGCTCGAGTGGGATATGGAACTGGAGCAGTCAGTTGAAAACCCAGTTGAACAAGTAATTTTATGCATTTTTTAATATTTTTTTGTTTTATTTATTAACTAAATTGAAATCTATTTGGTTATTGATTTAATAATTCTTAACGATTACAATCAGTTACTTTAAATTATATATATGTATAATGATATTTTGTGGGTACGTTTGAATTCATTGAAGGATTAAGTTTTATAATTGAGTGTAAATTAAATTTTCTCTAAATTTAAAAAAATTATTCTATTCATTCAATTAATCCATTATTTATTTTTTATTTAGGATCAAGATGATGTATGGTCTAGTCAGTATCGATGGTATGCAAAAATACTCGCCAGAATTACTCAGAATGTTGAGTACACTCCTTCAAATTCAACAAAATGTTCCAATGTGAATGACGTCAATTTCCAAGATCAGATGGGTCGGTGTGCTATTCATTATGCAGCAGATGCTGGTCATCTAGCGGCAGTTAAACTCCTACTGAAATCAGGCAAGTCCTTGGACATTATCTTTTAGTATTAGTTAAGAAATAGGTGTTCTCTTATTTCCTTGTTCCATTATGTTTAAAAGTCTATTAATAACATTTGACTTAAGGTTGATTATATTATAATGTATTGTGGTATTGCAAGAGGACTGAATTTAATGAAAACTTACCTGAGATTTTAATGAAATCGCCATTGCAGGATATTATATTTATGCATGTAAGGTTTACTATACATGGCTTGCTTTGAGGCTGGTGGAAAGCATTATTAAAAATTAGTGATAAATTTAAAAATCTGAAGCAGAAAGTATCATTTGATGACTTTTAGATCGCTTTTTATTGGTGAATTGCTATGATGTTAATATGTGTTTGCCAAACATCCTATTGAGTCAACTACTTTATAATGCATGCCAAACCAGTGCATTGCCCCAATTAATATACCATTTGGCATGGACACCAAAAGTTCTCTTGTTAAATAGTTTTTTAAAAATGTGATTATTATTATTATTATTATTATTTTTTTTTTTTAGGTTCAAAGGTGGATGTCAGTGATCTTGACAACTTAACCCCACTACATTTGGCAGCAAATCGTGGTGCATTACCAGTGGTTCAAGCTCTTCTTGAGCATGGCGCTCTAGTTGATAAACGGTCCACAGATAAATTAACCCCTCTTCATTATGCATCTTCCCGGGGTCATACGGATGTTGTAATGACTCTTATTAAATTCCGGGCCAGTTTGGATTCACTCGACAGCGGTGACCGGACGCCTTTAGCCTTAGCTGCATCGAGAGATCTATACCATGTTGTTAAAGTGTTAGTGGAATCAGGTGCTAAAGTCAATATAGAAGATGTAAAAGGTTTGAATTTAAAATTAAGTTGTCTATTATCAATTGAATATATTTTATGTATATGCATTGTAGGGTATACATCACTGTGTGAAGCTGTTTGGCACAAGAATGTCCCAATGACACAACTATTGCTTGACTATGGAGCAAAACTTACCCCGACTCCGTACCTCCTGCACTATGCAATTCTTCATAGGCACTTGGAAATGGTTAAGGTTCTCTTAAATGCTGGTGCGATTGTAAATATAAGAGATGACAGAGGTTCGACTCCTCTTATTGTAGCTGTTAAAACAGCTCAACCTGAAATTATAAAACTTTTATTAAACTATGGTAAGCTTTATTTTATTTTATTTATTTTTTACAACTGGTGAATTACAATTCTTGCAATACCATACTTGTAGGTGCATATGTGGATTTTTGTGGTGGGCTTTCTTGGAAAACACCATTAATAACAGCCATTGAAAATAAAGAAAATCCTGACTTAAGAGTAATTCCAGAGCTAATAGAAGGGGGTGCTAATATTGATAAATCGTGCTGGTCTCTGACCCCTGTGGCAACAGCACTTTTATTGGAGAAGGTATGTTTCATTTTGATTTGCTTATAAATATTCACATACACTTAAAGACAAAAAAAATTATATTTTGTTGTATATTGAAAATTAGGATTTTTAATTGTTATATTAATTACAATTTTCTAATTTTAACATAAATGAAATGAAATGAGTTTTAATAAAAACTATTTAATTATGTTGGGTTGAAAGAAAACCAAAACACTGGAAAATTCTTTAGTGATAGTATAAATTAACTAAGAACTCTTAAACTTTTTTCTTTCCTCTTTTTTCTTTTTTCCATTGCCCACTTATACACTTTCACTAGCTGCCATGGGGCAGCCCGGGGTTGGTGAGCGGAGCCCTTGCTAGTATTATATTATCATATTGTTTTCTATAAAGCGTTGGAGTAGTATACAAATTATATTTTCTAGCGAGCCCGCCAAAAATTGAGAGAAGTATTTTAAAATAAATAAAAAACATCAGCTCCAAATAAATAAGCTAAAAAACTTCACTTCTCTCAATTTTTGGCGGGCTCGCTAGAAAATATAATTTGTACACTACTCCAATGCTTTATAGAAAACAATTGAGAATTACTAGTGTAATTGATAATAAAACTCATTACATCATGTAGTAGTTTTTTGGGAACATGCATAAAAATCGCCCTTTTTCCCACAGTGTTCTAGTAGTAGAAAGGGGGAGACCTCAAGAGAAAATATCAGAATTAAACTTTTTATAGTTTGTAGCACACTGTATTTTAATAGATGCTGGTTTTCAGAATAGATTTCTAAAATTTCAGATAGATGTGACTGTAATGCTTTTAGCTTATGGTGCATCCTTAGACATAGTTGAAGATGGTAGCTCAGATCCAATGAACTTTGCTCGATCCATTAACAGTGTACATTCTGTTCGTGCAATGACATATGTCGGGTAAGTTTAAATCTTTATGAACAATGGCATTTTTTTATCTAATATAACAGTATTAACAGGTATGACCTACGCAAATGTGATGACATTATCTTCAATTATGATGCCTTGCAACATGCAGCAAACTCGATATTGTCTTGCTCTGCCGGTGTGCACGAATGGCTGCTTTATCTCAAATTTAATCCATTGAGACTCACCGAAATATCAAGGATAGCAGTCCGTTTGCTGAAACCGCAAGAGATGCTCATGCCAAAATTTGTTTCTTCGTTAGGACTTCCATCAGTACTTGTAAACTACCTTATGTTGTCTGACATCCGGATAATTCCAGGCATTAATGGTCCAAGTGTTAGATTACAGTGAGACATTTCAAACAATGGCTACAATCGAGGTAACATGTATTAATATTAAATTTTTGAATTGACAAAATGATGTTATCAATGGATCAGCGTCCATTAAATTCAGCGTAGAGTTGTTGTAACAATGAGTAAAAGGTTTATTTTAAAAGCAACTTAGAAGAAACTTAGATTTCTATTCACTAATTTTTGCCTTGTTGGCTAAGGTCATTTTCTCGAGGTCATTACTAATGAAAATGGAAAAGTTATATTCATCCCTTATGCAACTGTCCGATTACAGTTAGTGCAATTACCAGGGCTCAGTAAAAAGGTGTTTGCTATGTTAGATCATTTACAAGAAAATTAGTCACTATATATCAATATTTATCAAAATATAAAGTTACACAGTTTAATGCAACCATGTATATTTCAAGGAGAAAAAGGAAAAACAGAATAATTTAACTTTGTGAGTAATATAACAGTATAAATTCTTTAAACAGTAATTCAATTAAGTGATAGTGGAATGAATATAACTAATAACATATAACTAACTCTTCTCTCTGTGCATCTTTGTATTGAATTCACTGACTTAAGCGGCCCATATACGCTCAATACTATTGCACAATATTTTGACGGAGGCCCTACACTGTACAATATTTTGATTTGTGCAATAAATTGTATCGTATGCAGGCAATATTGATGGTTGTGCAATATATTGCACAATTGCGAGCACAGATGTACAACCTTCAAGGCAATATATTGTGCAATTAGTTCCAACCAGAATTTCATGTAGTGAAGTCATGTTGAGTGATATTGATTTGTGTTGTGTGATTATTGCTGTGGGGGGTGCCAGTGCGAAAAAGAAGTAGAGCTTGCAAAAAGGCAGGAAATGGACCAAACAGTGGCTAATTGATAGGGAAAAGTACACCCACGAAAAATTACTTAATGAACTGAGAGTGTCTGAACCAGATGACTTTCGCAACTTTTTACGGATGAACGGCGAAATATTCGATGAACTGCTCGCTTTGGTTACTCCTCAAATTGAGAAAAATGACACTATCATGCATGATGCTATTCCTGCAAGTCAACGGTTATCCATAACCCTACGATATCCGTTTTAGTTCTTTTTGGAAGTTTGTTCTCAAAGAATTAATTTTTTTCACTACTTCTTGTTTATCAGCCTCCGGATATTTTTCGCGGTATTTTTCTAACAACACTTCATACTGCTCCCCCTTCTTCGCACGATTAGTATAATCTTTACACTTCACATCCCACAGAGCTGGAAGGCCACGATAAACGTCAATCAATTCGAAAATGAATTGCCTATCAGCTTCCTTGGCAGCCATGACGACGCGTACTCTACCATGTGTTGATACTGACTGATGGGATATTGCGCAATATTGCCTACAGACGGCACAACCTTTTCCCGTTTGCACAATATATTTTCAAGGATTTGAATTTAGCACAATATATTGCACAACCTTTCAATTTCGACTACACACAATCAACTATATTGCGCAATAATATAGCCACTTTAGTGTGTGTTTGTAACTTTTTAAAAATTGAGCTGATCATTGTAATGATAACTAAGCTATAAGGGGATTGAAAATTGTTATGAAATCATAATAAAATGCCTAATACATCAAATAGATTGACCTTAAACTCCCAGATGTTAGATATGTAGTTTTCAAATTCTCTCCGGCCTTTCAAATGTTTGGTTTGAATGAGAAAATTTTTCCCTCGTATAATATTTCTAAGCATAATTTCTGGCAGATGTTTTAGAACTATTCAAGTCTTCCGAGAAAGTGATCACAGTATGAAACTTAGCAGAGTTGTGCTTAGTAGGTTTTGACATTTTTAAAAAGATATTTTCATTATAAATGAAAGACTCATCATTTATTTCTGAAAACTTGTAATCATTTGTAACCCCGGGGTCCGGGAAGAAGAGGTATGGGCTAAATGAATCGCGCTAATTTCTAATGCTATTTTATTCAACAGAACTATGCAATTTACAATCAAGCGTCTTCTTATGAACTACTTATAGGTAATTAAAACTCGGCAAAAGGGGGGAAGCTGGATAGAACTACTAGGGTCTTAACAGGAAATGATTGGCGCCACCACTCTTATCAATACAGGCACTCACCGCTTATTCCTGCCACGAGGAGAGTCCACCACATCACACAAATTTTATTTCGAACTGTTCCCTCTGACTTCTCGACGTCTACTGACCCCTATTGTTTCCGTTCACCCGAGGCCGGGTTGCTGACATAGCACCTAGGTCCCCCTTTTGCCGACACTGTTTCTTATTATCCTACTTACAAACATTAAATCTACTTAAAACAATATTTGACATTTTATTTTATAAATCTTCCCATCACCGGTTACAATTCACTCCCCTCTGTTTGAAGTGGTTGCTTCCCTTTGGAACAACCACTCCTAAACTATTAAGTCTAACACTATACACTACTCCACCTCACCACTGTTCCACTTGATGACCTCTTCCAAGGTTGGTGTTGGCCAATCTTTTCTCTGGCCGGCACTCTTATCGCCTTCCCGCGATGTCTCCACCACCAGGCTGCCGGTCCGACCGATAGCAGCAGTACGCCGATGGAGCTTGTACCCATTCCCATAATCAGGGTACGTCCCCTAGTCCGACGCACTGTTTGCTCGTAATAGGGCTTCGAGCTCAGCTTCCCAAGCCCCGAGTCGTCCTTTTGATACATCGCCGTCCTGCAAGAGCGTTGCCTCCGCCTCCTTCCATCCTTTGTCGCTGTTCCGCAGGTGGGGTAGCGTACCTCATCAGTGGCACAGGTGTCCACTGTACTACCCTTTTCTCCAGTTCCACCGATAGGTTGTTGCTGTCAGACGGTTGTCTGCCTGCGGTTGGAGCGATAGTATTACTCCAGTAGCAGGTCCCAAACAGGCAGAGTTGTCACGCGTAGCAGCCGGAGCCTTCGTTCCATTGAGGCCAGTGGCAGGTCGACTATCACCTGCAAGCAGTCTAGTGTGGAGTTGGCATGGACCTCGGGGGCATCTCTGCAGCGGAGGTACCTGTAATCATTAGGAGCTGCGGCGGCAACATAATCGCTACATTGGAAAAATTTGACTGAATTCTAAAGGGGACAAAAAGGTGCTATCCAACCTTCCCCGTGCCAGGGACAATACCCCCTTCTTAGAATATAATATAATTATAAGAAGAATATAATCCGTTGCCGCTCCGTCTATACACTAATTATTTGCATTCTTTGTCGAAACTAAATTTGGCTATATTTTTTTCTTCTTTCTTTAGTTGACTTTATTTTATTGTTATTATTTATTTATTTTTTTCTTCGAATTTTGTTATCGGGTAGCCTTAACTGACCTCGAAAAAGAAGTAAAGAAACTCGATCTTTCGTTTCACACACCTATATATATATATATTTTTTTTTTTTTTTTCTTTTACGAGTGATAGTGATTATTTATTCAATTTTTATAATATCCTGAATCTATTTACTCATCATAATTTATTTTAAAACAGAACTATTTACGAACGTACAGGGGGCGGGTAAGGTGGTAATTGTTGCATTCCACCCCACACCTGACACCAAATTTGTAACCCCGGGGTCCGGGAAGAAGGCGTCTGGGCTAAATGAATCGCGCTAATTTCTAATGCTATTTTATTCAACAGAACTATGCGATTTACAATCAAGCGTCTTCTTATGAACTACTTATAGGTAATTAAAACTCGGCAAAAGGGGGGAAGCTGGATAGAACTACTAGGGTCTTAACAGGAAATGATTGGCGCCACCACTCTTATCAATACAGGCACTCACCGCTTATTCCTGCCACAAGGAGAGTCCACCACATCACACAAATTTTATCTTGAACTGTTCCCTCTGACTGCTCGGCGTCTACTGACCCCTATTGTTTCCAATCACCCGAGGCCGGGTTGCTGACATAGCACCTAAGTCCCCCTTTTGCCGACACTGTTTCTTATTATCCTACTTACAAATATTAAATCTATTTAAAACAATATTTGACATTTTATTTTATAAATCTTCCCATCATCAGTTAAACATTTAGTAATCGCTTGTAAAATACACCTTGATGACCACTTTAACATACGAGCCTTCTAGAATCAAAATGTGTTCTAACCCACCCAAGTCAAATTTAGGGAAAACGCAAAAAAACTGTTCTTATGCTGTAAAACCTTAATTCATAATGCAGTATGTATTCAATTGTAGTTATTAAGGAAAGTTGTTTAGATGGAGCACGTTTTGATTCCCAGTTGGAACCCGACGTAACTGAAACCCTTGTGAGGTCGTTGGGGTTTTCTTGTTTTATAGAATCAAACCCTTTTTTTTTGTCTTTCATTCATTGACTAAATTATTGATTCATTATTTAAAATTTAATAATTGATTAAAAACAACCGTATGGAAAAAATAGAATTAAAATCTTTGGAATTCGTAAATATTCACTTTCGGTTTTGTTTGAATTAGCATTTAATTTAATTAATAAGTATATTTATTTTACTTAATCAAATAAAAAAGTGAAATTTGAATAGATTTTATTAGATACAATTTTCTTTTGCTCGATTTGCCAAGTTTTTAAAACTTACGCGACTTTTCCTGGCAGTATGGTTTGTTGGCATTAGAACTGACGGTATATAAAGAATCAATTTTTTTTTTTCGTTCACCCATCAGTCTTTGCACAAGGGATCTGATACCGTTCCTGGGAGTGTTGCGCTTGTTCAAAAGGGCTAGATGAATGTCTGAGCCTTCCTTAGTGTGTTAAAAAGCTAGTTAAAATTAAAGAATTACTTTTTGTTGCTTTCAATACAAATTTGTTTTCAGGAATTACAGTTACATTAGTTAGGCCTAATTTAGAAGGTATTGAATAGAAATTATACATATCGTATTCTACTTTTGAATTAAGAGGTATTGACAAGCTATAAATGATTTCACTATTATGGATTTTAGAACTGACTTTTATTAAATATTCATATTCCAAAATATTTTCTAATTTTACTTCGAAAGGCACCTGGGTTGCATAATGCAGAGAAATTTTTGGAAGTTCCTCATAGAGGTGATGTGTATTTATTATACTTGGGTGTAACGTTCCCTGTTTGCAAAATGTTATGGAACTCTCAATATCTTCAAATATATTCATTACTAGATTAAATAATGTTTGTAAGTGATGAATTGTTTCTTTTATTTTAATAAAAAATTTTATTATGTTTCGATTCCTTTTAAATTTGTTAATTAAATTTTGAATTCTGAAAGCAACTTACAAATTTACTATTAAGAAGATCTTCATGAGGATTGTCGTCCGATGATCTCGATGAACTGTGTTCCCAATTTTCTGACTGATGAAACAGTAAAGTTCGTATGCCGCGAACCCGAAAATTGTCCTGCCGACTGCGCCAATTATGTTAGATTTTAAACTTTAAATTGTCAATCCTTAGCAGTATGTCAAATTCTGTGTGAAACTCNTACAAATGAGTAATCCTGTAAACGTAAACAGAATATTTTATATAGATTTTTTTTAATGAAAACTTAAAATCCTGCATTATTTTCCGGACAACCCAATATATTCGCTAAAATATTTGTTAGCTATGGTTGGGTTAATTGGTCCCTCTATTATAGGTATTGTGATTACAGTATTGCCATCGGCGTTTGAATGAACGGTAGCGTCATCGTCAAACTGATCATTTTGTTCTTCCGGGTCGATATTTGCTATTATGGATTCATTTTCGCTAATTTCGTTAACGTTAACTGTTAGAGATTGATTATCCACTGGGTTATCGACAACTTCATTCGCTATATCCGGGTACTGTTCAAAAAATCGTGTCAGCATTTCGACGATTTCTTTATCTTCTGTGTTTTTACTCTCGGCAGTGAGACCTATCTGATGATATGCCGAATTTAGGTCCAACACCGTCAAATATTTTGCTTTATTTAAATATAACAGGGCACTCTCTATAGTAGGGGTGGGGCATTCGAGATATTTTATTTGTGAATTCAATTTGCGATAATCAACCACTAATCTAAAATCTTCTTTTTTGAAACTAAAAAACATGGTGATGTAAAATCAGTTTGTACACGTTTGGTAACCCTTTTTTTTTCCAAAAGTTCATTAAGTTTTTTTCGTAAAATTACTAATTTCGGAGATGTAAGCTGATTGTTAATCCGTTTACATTCCAGTTTTGCCCCTGAGATTAATTTTATCTTATGTTTTAGACGTGTAGTAAGCCCTAGTTTATTCGTCAAAACAATCGGGATGCTGCTTCTTAAGATTTTCCAGGTCGGAGTGAATCGAGTTTACCATTTTATTTTCTAATGTTTCCTCATCTTGTATTAAACTAAAATTATTCCCTTTTTTTATCAAAATTAAATGAAAAAAAAATCCTTCTGCAGGATTTATTGACATCTGAGAATTCTTTAAAAAATCAAAACGTATTAAAATATTTACTGGTAAATTTGGCACAATATAAAAAAAATATTCCCATCTTTTCAATGTTTAATTTTACTCTATTTTGTATCAAAACCTTTTCTGAATTCCCTGCTGTTATTTTAGTATTACATTTCACTTTTTCTTTTTTTATGTTTGATTTAATTGCATTTAAAAAATTCTCGCTGACGCAGCTTATTGTCGCGCTAGAATCTAATAAACCCTTTGTGCTAATTTTATTAACTTCTAAATAAATTTCTCTCTTTATATCATTAGAATTCGTAGCCCGTAATATTTTTAAATTTGTAGACTTGCTCGATTCGCTCCTCCCATTTAGTTTTTTGATCCTTTTTTTAAACATTTTTCTGCATTTTATCGGTCTTATTTTCTTTCTTATTTTATTTTTCTGGTATTGGAGTTGATGGGGGGGGGAGCTGGGTTATATATATATATATTACGCAGGGTGGGCGACCAGGACCCGAGGGGTTAAAAGCCTAGTTAGGCCCGTACCCCATCCCTAAAAGGTCCGGGACCTGGTCGGCTCACGAGTCCTGCATAAACCTCTTGGGCCTATTCACAAACCCCAAGATCTTGGACCATTTTATCTTGGGGAGTATTTTGGTTATGTCCTCTCCTTCGAAAGTTTCAAATCTTTCCCTAGCATACCTATCACATTCTGCAAGGTAGTGTCGACCCGTTTCTTCCTTTGTTTCACAGAAACGGCAAAAGGGGTCTGGTAGAATACCCATTATGAAGAGGTGTCTTCTCAAGGGGCAATACCTCCTAGAGTTAGAGAATAACCATTTCGCTTCTTTTGGTTTGATTTCCTTCAGAAACTCCTTCGATTGCCTGCATCCGGGGACATATTCCATTCCTTAAGGAATAATTTCATGCCCCAGCTACTTATACTCTCTTTCGCTGTGCTTATAGAGTGGGGTAATACCGGTTGTGGCCCGACAAACGCAGTATTTGATCCTTCTTTGGCCAGGCTGTCCGCCTCTTCATTGCCATAGTGCCCCTTATGAGCTGGTATCCATATGAGGGTTACCCTATTCTCGTCCCTAGTAGTAATCCTATTGATAAGTTCAACGGTTTCCTCTACCAGCCTAGATGTAGATAACTCTTTTTGTAATGACTTAAGACTGGCCTGACTGTCGGAAAAAATTCTAATATCTTTTCCCTTAGTATTATTATCCATGAGTGCTCTGCAGCAAACATTGATGGCCCAGACCTCCGCCTGAAAGACTGAGGTGTTATTACCAAGAGGGGAGGAGATGCTGATTCCTAATTTGGGTATATGTATTACAGCACCGCTTCCCTTATCCTTAATGAGTGAGCCATCGTTATAATCACATGGGGTAACTACCTGAAAGTGTTTTTTCCCCAATGGTGTTTTAACCTTTTTGTCACTAACACTTAGTAGTTGGTTATTAACCTTACTCAGGAAATATAGAATTTTCGAGTGTCCTATATTGTTTCCCTTATGATTCCAGCTGCCTTCACTAATTAATCTATAGCAGCTGGTTATTGCTGTAATCTTGACCTCTATGTGTAGAGGTGTAGTATTGGTTATCTTTCTAGTGCTAGGGTTGGTGTAGTGGGAAATGCTCCCGTCATCATCGTACAACTTCGTCTTTGAAATGATCTTAGCTTGTTAATAGCCCCTTTATTTTCTGCCCTTTCCACCATACTAGGGCTGCAAATAGAAATCTTGGTAGTATAATTGCGGTATATATCCATTTGGCCACCCAAGGTTTGATACCCCATGTTCTACCAACAATTCTCCTACATTGCACCATGGATATTGTGTCTTTCCTTTGTATAGGCAGTCAGCTCCCAGTCCTTGATGCTCAAACCTGCCTTTCTGTTTGAGATCCTGAGTAATTTGTTTATGGACTCTTTTTTGGTTTCAAGTCCTACTATTGGGTTGTCCGGAAAATAATGCAGGATTTTGGTATTAAACAAAAAAAAAGAAACTAGTTACTTTAAAGCAATGTTCTTTAATCAAAATAATTTCCCATNCATTCATACAAATGAGTAATCCTGTAAACGTAAACAGAATATTTTATATAGATTTTTTTTAATGAAAACTTAAAATCCTGCATTATTTTCCGGACAACCCGATACATACGTGGATACTTTGGCCTTCCTCGGTAGGTCATTGATATCGCACACCACGTATTCCCTCTCTACCCATAGTTTCTTTAATGTGTCCCTGACAAACTTGACGGTTGAATCATCGCCACAGCTTATCAGGAACGTGGAGCCTCCTTTTACCAGGCCAGAGTTTATAAAGTCTACGCCTTGGTCTTCATCTTCTTCAATTAAGTCTAAGGCACTGTTGCAGATCAATGATCTCAACTTCAGTGCCTCTTCGTTGGTGAAGAAATCCTTGTTGGCTTTCCTGAAAACAACTTTATAAATTGGTTTAGGTGTTGTTACCTGTTCACTTTCCTTTCCCTGCCTTAGTTTTTTGGCAGGTCCTGTGGCGGAGGGAGGAGTATTAAAGTACTCCGTCCTACTTCTTTTAGTACTGGTCCCCAGTCTCTTTTGAGCTGGGGTTATACTCACCTGTGGGCCTCTTTTATGTTTAAACCTGTCCTTAAACGGTGGCTGGACGGTTGATATGGACCCACTCCTTCGAGGGTTAGAGCGACCCTTGTTGTGCATACTCCTGGATCGCTCGCCTCTCTTACCTCTTTTTACTACTATCCTTATCTCCTTCACAGCGCACCAAAGGGGTGCAGCCGGTGGATAGAGGAGTGCTCTCCACTTTTTCCTCCGTCTTCTTCGTCTGCTCCATCCTTCTCTCCTTCTCCAACTCCGCCTCCATTCTTCCTTCCTGTTTTCCACTCATCCGAGTGGAAAATACCAAAAATATAGCAGAAACAAGTGGTAATTCTTGGTATTGCTAGCACGTGGCCGAAAAGTGCGTGCAACCTCCTTGATCACCGGGAAAGCTGAGTACTGATGAGTATATTGTGGGGGGTAATGAGGATAGAATGTTCGTGACATGAAATTTACATGTTTGGACTCGTTTTTAAAGTGTTTATTCCAATTTGGATTATCCCGTTTGAAATTTCCTTTTACGATGGACTTTGGTTGACTATTGCTACCATTTGTATATTTTCCGAAATTGAATGAATTGTCACGTTTTTGAAAAACTGAGGATGAAAGTTCGAGTTATGCCGTTTTTTTTATTTTTATTTCGATTATAATTATTAGGGAGCCAACCGTTTCTATTACTGTTAAAATATTGTTTATAATATAATCGAAAAGGGTATTTTTCAATTTTTCTGTGCCCGCTATATTAAATATCAAAAATCACTGATTGCAGAAAGGGCATGAGTCACAATTTGTAAATTTTTCAGGAGACCAAAAAAACTCCTCTAATTTCACATTTCAAGTGTAATAAGATTCATTTATAGGTTTTCTGTTTGTTATTATTTAGTTCAATGTTATTCTACATGAACCAACCTAAACTGATATTTAGTATAGTAATAATTTAAATTTCAAATTTCTTGACTCATGCCATTTTTGCACGCAATGGCACTGTGGAAAGTGATAAAGTCAAAATAACATTGTGAACAGTAATGTAAACGAAAATTTTTATTTATTTTGTAAAGTAGTCTACGACGACTAGAATATATCGGTTCTGCTTGGAGGACAGCGGTAATGAATAAGATCAGCTGAAACCAACTGCCACGGCTCGTCAACTGGTTTCCCATAAGTCCAGGGGGTAGTTGTTGCAGCGGCTTGTTTTGCAGACAGGTAGGACATCGAGCTACATAACGTGCTACATCTGCTTCCATTCCAGGCCAATAATAAAATTCTTTAATCCGTCGGAGAGTTTTGAATCCCCCAAGATGGCCAGCTAATGGGCTGTCGTGGTATTCCAGTAGTAGGTCCGCACGTTGTCGTTTAGGAACTACTAGTTTCCAAGGATTCGGTTGGTCGCTCAGAATTTTCTCCTTCCTATCAATTACGCGTTTAAAGAGTTTCTTATTGTCTTCCACCTTCCAAATAGGGTAACTAGCTGGATTCTTCTGCACCTTCCCAATCATAGTCGCATACAATTCTCCACATTATTAAATTGTATGTCAATTATTCCAACGGAAATAGTGCATTAAAAAACAATAAAATACTTAAGAAGAACGTACATACACTTAGTGTGTAAAATTAACAAGAAAATAATCATAAAAATTAATAAATTTGTCTAGAGCTCGTCCCCTTCTCCATCGTTGTCTGTGGCTGTGTTGTGGGCCATTCTAGAATATTTTTATAAAAGTCGATATAGGGTTCCTCAATAAATCTCATTTGCCTGATGTTTATCTTCTGTGGTTTTATAGAAACCTTGCCGTTTTCATATGCCTTTGCTGTAGGCAATCTTACGGCCTTGACAATTTGAATGATTTATTAATCAAACCATCAATGAACTTTTGCACTTCAACAACTCCCGAATTATCAGATGCGTATATGAACGCCTGATAAGTTGAAGTTTGGTAGGTTACTTTTTGATCTTTAGGTACCGTTCCATAAGAATCTGTAGAAAGGCAAGTTTTCTTATAATACTTTGGCCACCATGTCTTGAACGGGGATATTGGGAATCGGCAAGTTCTGCATAAAATCAAATGAGATTACCATCACTTCCTCATTATCCATGCAAAGCTCAGTGATCAACTTGAGTTTGGAGTAAAATTTTTAGCTCTGCGCTGGTGCATAATAAGTTCGGCAGACACACTTCTTTTCGCAGCATCGCAAAGTTGTGAAGTAGGCTTGAGTTTGATGCCTAGTTCTTCGCAAGTAATACAGGTCTTGTCGCCGACCAAATCTGATTGAAATTTTTGTTGAAATATCTTAAATAGAACTCATATTGTACAGGTGTATTTGGAAATTTTTCTTTAAAATAGCAAAACATTTTTTTTATGTCCAGGCGAGCGTCTAGATACGCCATAAATTTCCCCGATTAGTGCGAATGTTTCGCTGGGAAATATGGTGCTCGATATGGGCATGGATATTCTCACAAACAGATGATGGTATTGTTTGTTTTTGTTTGTTGACCGCGAGAATCTTTTGGTACTTTGCCTTCTACAAAGAGCAAACACAATCGACGAACACGTTTTTCAGAAATTCCGTACAAGCTCGTAAAAGCTTTTTTGCAAACATTTACTCTTTTTCCTATAACCTGAACAAAATACCTGAAATTGCAGCTTCTTGCCTTCGGAACTTCCTTTCTTGGGCGTGACGATTTTTTGTCCGCTTTCTCGATCTGCTGCTGGAGAAAAAGGTCTTGTTGATCCTTATTTTTGAAGGCGTTCATCTTATCCACAAAATCATTCATCTCAGTTACAGTGAAATGTTCGAAACATTTTTTAGGGCACCTGCAAATAAAATGGTAAACAATCATTAATTTACTATACAAGTACTTACTCTCACCATTAAATTTTAACTTCACTGATCACTTTTAACCGTTTTGCATATAGAAAGATAGATATTAGCATAACTTCACAATATTACAAAAATAATAATTAAATGAGCTTTATATACCTGCAGTTTGGTCCTGTTTCACGTCTTGCTACTTGTTTCCCAGACCAGTTGATATACTCCACTCCATGTACTTTTGACATATTTTGTTGTAGCCATTAATTTTTTTTTATAATAGATCCCTAGGTCAGGAAGATCTTCCCTGGACTTAAAAAATGTTGGTCTTCCCTATTCGACAATTCTAGTTTCTCCACTTCATTAATCAGAAGGTCTAGATCCTGAATTGTCGTGGGGCTTTGTTGAAAATGAAAATATGAACGAGTTCTTGCGTTAACTCCGTCCAGAATGCAGGTGGACAGGTTTGAGCGTAAATGTAACTTGTTGGCTTTTTTGTTCGTTTAACCTGATCCGCCAAAGATTCCACCAGTTGGTAATAAGGTTCAGGTGTGTTGGAGTGCTTCTGTGGCTAGGATAGGATTGGAGTGTAAGATTTCGGTATCGTCCGCGTAGGTTGTGATTTGTGTGTTTGGATGTGTGGGTATGTCAGCAGTGTAGATGGTGTAGCGGATTGGGCCTAGGATACTTCCTTGTGGAACGCCTGCTTTGATTGCTGTGATAGTTGAAAGATCGGTGCCGATTCTTACTTTAAACCACCGATCTGAGAGGAAGGATTTCACGATAAGGTAGTAGGAATGAGGGAGGATACATTTTAACTTATAGAGGAGGCCGGGTGCCATACTCGGTCAAATGCTTCCGTAACGTCCAGAAATACGGCTGAGCAGTATTGTTTGTTTTCTAGAGCCGAAGATATCGTGCCGACTACTCTGAAGCACTGCTGAACAGTGGAATGGAGAGTTCGAAACCCAAATTGATGATTAGGAATTATGTTTTCAGTCGAATATAGGAATTAGTCTTTCAAGGAGGATACGTTCAAAGATTTTGGATAAAATAGGAAGGAGGCTTATTGGTCTATAAGAGGATGGGGCACTGGGAATTTGTGTGTTCTTTGGTATTGGAGTTATTAAAGATAGTTTCTACTGGATAGGGAAATAGGTTGTGCGAAATATTGCATTGTAAGTAGATGTAATGTACACTATTGCTTTTTTGGGTAGATTTCGGAGGATTTTAGGGGTAATTAGATCATGGCTTGGGGATTTTTTTTCGGAAAGGCGGAGAATCTGATACATGACATCTGCGGGTTGGATGGGCTTAGGAGGTAGAGCGAGAGGGAGAGGCAGCGAAGGCGAAGAAGGGAGTGGCGGTGAAGATGGTTTAGAGGAGGTAGGGGGATGGCGAATATCCGAGGAAGGGGGAGACTTTGATGGTGCGATGGGCCTGGAAGATGTTCTCTTGAGTGAAGTAGAGTATGATGTGACTATTGGCACACATGGCAGCGATTGACTGACCGACAGAGTAGAGAGGTGTGACCAGGGCTAAGACAGTTAGAACACAAAGATAAAGCTTTAATTTGGCGGCGGCGGTCAGCGGGACGGAAGCGTTTAAAGGTAGAACATTGGCGAATGGTGTGACCATCTAGCCGACAATGAGCTCGTGAGGTGCGGTCTGGAAAATAGAAATGATGAATGGTGGAGTGAGTGCGGTGTTCAATCCTTTTTAAAAAGATAGTTCCTACTCACAGTAAGTTGTTTTGCAACGAGCCGGATTTCGAGCTTTTAGCTCCGGCTTAGCTTTAACTAAAAACTCGATATCCGGATCGTTGCAAAACAACTTACTGTGAGTAGGAACTATCTTGTTAAAAAGTTGTTTTTCTAAAAGCTACGTCACACCAGACCGCACCTCACGATCTCCAAATAATAAGAATCGTAGGTTTTAAAATTATTTCAGAATTAAATTGGCCACTATAATTTCCTTTTCCTGGGGGAGTCGGTTTTTCAATAACTGTATCGACATTTTCCCTTTTTTTGTGTTGAAAACAATCGCCTCTGAGGAGATATTGCTCTTTTTTTAGATGGTACAGCAGACGTTGATGTTATTAAGGAAATATGAGGTGATAATTGCAGTAGTTGGACTTTTAAAGTTTTTAGGTGTTGTTGAACAATGTTCATTTGTTCCTCGGAGACGACTGTATTTATTAGAGAGGTGAATTCAGAAATAGTTTCCATTTTTTTATTTTCTAGTGCGTTAGGATTTTTATTATTGGATTTTTTTATATCGTTTAAAAGAATGTCTTTTTGAATGTCTTTTGGGTCATCGTTGATAATAAGTTGTTTTGCTTCAGAATTTCGGCAAGGATTGGGGAGCCGTGGTGGGGGGCTACTACCCATCGAAGTTCTCGGGACTCTAGTTTTCCGGAGGCGATAGGTAGTGTAGAACGCCCGAACAGTATTTAAGGCACTTAATGAAGTTGTAACTACTGTCAGGATCAGGAGCGCATCGACTAATGGTGGGGAGAGATAAGAAGGAACGAGAGAAGAAGAAGAGATCATTGATGAGATCCCTTGCTCCTTGATTGAAGGAACAGAGTTGGCGGTAACCGAGGGGCAATCACGGTGTTGTTGCACATGGATAGACGCTATGCGACGAGGATTTTGGTATCTTTTATTTCTTATTAACAGATAGGGACTTCTCTCCATGGAGACACGATCATAAATAATGAAGTTTTTGGGTGTCAGACAATGAAGAAGAGTTTGTTGTGTTGGATAGTAGCCGAGCATGTTGGAATTGACCTGACCTCCGTGAGGAAATCTTCCATTTGGTAGGGGCTGCCATGGTCCGATGTTTTCTCCTGCGGTGTTTGCCTCAGTTGTTGCGCGTATATACTACCGGGTAACCAGGGGGAGTGGTAACACTCGTACGAATGATGGTGGCCGGTATCGGCTGCGCCAAAACTTCCGCTGGGTATTGCTTCTGCACCGGCGTTTCCTGTTATGTATGTCCTAGGAATAGCAGCAAAAGGAAGATTGATTGTGATATATCACATCTCCAACGGTTGATAGGAATGTTGTCCTTCCAGCGAAATACTCTGCGATGGGCCTAGGCAAATGGTATTGTGTCATATCTATGACGTCAGAGGGATTTCCAGTCACTTCAAATCTTGTATCTTCATTACATCTAATCGACAGTGAAGAGTTAGAGTGAACAAGTGAATCGTATCGATACTTGGATTTCGGCCAATCTTAAAGGCTTCCGTGAAAGTTTGGTAGGGTATGGGTGGTAGGGAAAACGCGTTTCCGGAAGCGATAGGCGGTGTAGAGGCGGTCGTGAGAGCTTGGCTACGTTGGCAATCAAACCACCTGGTGTATATGCATTAACAATATCAATTCGTTGGTCATCCGCGAGTTTTCTATTAAAGGAGATGATATCCTTTTGAAAAGTGGAAAATTGGTCGGCTAGAGTGGACGCTTGTTCATTTGGAAACTCTATCAGTCCGATATCATCGTCGGATAAATGGGCGGAGCGGATATCTAGATAGGATGAAGAAGAACCTTTAAATCATACTCCAGATGATGCCGACTTCTTAAATATTTGATCTTCTCTTTTTATAACTGATATTCTTGTTGGTAACACGCTCTTTGTGTCAACTTGATGCATGTGATTAGAGTTCTCTAGTTCTGTGACAGTTAAAGGCCCAAATTTACGTTGTTCCACAGCCTCTACAGTTAGAAATGAAGTGTTTACAATAAGGCAATACAAATAATCGTAGAATAGTAGAATATTTCATGAGTATACTGTCGTCAGTTACATTGACTGCTAGTAAAGCAGCTTGAGTGATCCGAGTTTCAGGAATTTCTTCTGCATCTGTAATCGAAGATTCATTAACAGGCCATCTTAATTGATCATCCTTTAACCATTCAGGACCTTGCCACCATTATTCATTTTCAATGAGGTGAAGAGGAGTTAGCCCACGAGAAACCAAATCTGCAGGATTTGGTTGAGATGATACGTGGCTTCAATTACAAAGCTGTGTGGCCTCTTGAATTTCACTGACGCGATTTGCGACAAAGGTCTTCCATGATGATGGACACCTAAGCCAGGCTAGAACGATATTAGAACCTGCCCATATGTATATCTCACTTGCCTTGAATGGTATACTGCCTTTAACCTTTACAAGCAATCGTGCAAGGAGAAGTGAACCACAGAGTTCAAGTCGAGGGAGTGAAATAGGTTAAGGGGAGCTACCCTTGATTTGGCGCAGAGTAATTTTACCATAACGTGGCCTCTAGCATCTTTAGATCGCATGATATATGCTCCATAAGCTTCCTCCGAAGTTTTTATTTTGCAGCTGTTCAAATTGCTTCGAAATTTTAATTACTCTATCCTTTTTTGTTAACAGTAGTTCAATGTTAACCGACCCTTTTTCTAAATTTTGCGTTATATCCTTGTGATGTTATTAAAGTTTTACAAAACATGAGAGATAAAAAATAAAATAACTTAACAAAAAAAAAAAAAATTATTGTTAACATTAAAATTTGATTGCAATCTTTCAGGGAATAATTAATCATATAAAATATAAATAAACGACGTATAATTTGATGTCATAAGGTAGAATCTACTGTCATCACGACGGGCTTAAGGTGCCCCTGCACTATCAAGCGGCTTGATCAAATGCTTGAACCTCCGATTGATGGGAGCTTCAAGCGTGCTTCAATCAACCCTTCAATCTTTCGGTCAAAACTCCCTCGACCCTCATCAGTGGAAGCCGTGAAGTGGAGCAGTGCGTTTCGCTGTTTGATTTTTTGTTGAAGTTTGTTCTGAGAACATTAATTTTTTGTTTCAATTGCTTTACATTGTAATCCGGTTTTAGCACTTTCAATGCCCCCACGATTTTCTCTAGCGCCGCACTTTTTTTATTTCTATTGAAATAATCTTTACTTTTTACTTTCCACAATTCGGGACAATCACGATATAAATCTATCAACAAACTGATGAACTCCCGCTCCGAGTTTTCGGGAAGCGCGGTTTCGGTAGTGGACGCCACCGAGTGACTGACGCAATGCTTGATGAAAATTGCCCTACACTATTAAGCCGCTTGATCATCTGCCTGAGGCATTCAAACTTCCTATCAATCACCATCACTTCAAGCGTCAATCAGGTTTCTACACTATCAATCACGCTTGATACAATCGATTTTACTCAAGCATTTGATCAAGCCGCTTGATAGTGTAGGGGCACCTTAGACGGGTCAAAAGGCACTAACAATTGGTAGGTAATTATCCCTCTCTGAAAACGTGCGAGGATATTTTGCGTTCAAGTCCAATACAAGATTTAAGCTGTCCTTTCGTGTGACTGACATGGAACTCCTGGCCTTGCCCAATCCCTTCAGCTATATCAGACAACAGGTTTTAAAACATTTAGCGAATTGCGACCAAGTAACGCAGCACATGACAATCCTTGACTACAACCAATGGTAAATTTGTGTACCTGTCTTCAACTCTAACCAAAGTGACCCCTACAA